TTATTTTTAATGGAAAGTCAGATATACAAAGAGGAAGAGAGTCAGAGAGGAAGATCTTCCATCCATTGATTCGATCCTGAAGTGACCATAATGGCTAGAGCTGAGCCCATTCAAAGCCAGAAGCCAGGAAATTCCTCCAGGTCTTCCATGCAGATGCGGCATCTCAAGGTTTTGGGCCAGCCTCAACTGCTTTCCCAGGATGCAAGCAGGAAGCTGGATGGGAAGTGGGGCGCCTAGGATTAGAACCAGTGCACATATGGGATGCTGGCACATTTAAGGAGATGACTTTAGTCGCTAGGTCACCATGCCAGGCCCATGACTTAGAACTTCTGTATAAATGGATGAAATTGTGTGTAAAAATACCTGATATTATTATTGAAGTACTATTTACACAACAATAAACTTTCTAGCATCTGTTACTCCTTGTAGAAGGGCCTATAGTAATTGACTAAATCTTACCATTTTACTCTGACAGAATTATTACAACTTTGCATACTTGAATGCTGCAGTTACCTAAATAAGGATGCTATACAATTGCTGAACTATAAAGTAATTAGCCTAAGAGATTAAAAACTATTACAAGAAACCCAAACTTTCACATCTCTCAAGACCACTAAGCCAACAGTGGGGTGACTGATTTCCCTGTAGTATCTTATGAGAAGGCCAGAAATGGAAGTTTGCAAGAGTTAGATACTTGGTGAAATGGCGCTAGTAAAGCTATTTTTTTTTTCTTTTGCAAAAGAAAAGAAATTGGGGATTTGAGTTATGACAGCTCATTCAGTGATTCTCTAGGAACTGGTGGGAAAGAATTTGAAAATCTAAACTTCAAAAGGAAATAATATGAACATATCTTTCTGCAATAAAAGTAACCCTGCATTACACACCAACCCTGACAGCTATTATTAGACCCCACTGGTTAATTAGCCAAAAACATATTTGGCTAATTTCCCTTCAAATTCACCATCAATGTCAACACATTTGGATAATCCTAAAAGGCTGGGAATTTACAAGTCATAAACATTTAACAAAATAGCTAAGCTTCTTAAAATACTTTTCCCATCTGTGTTAAACCACAGAAAATCTAACCGGAACAGCCATTATATCCCCCCAGCCTACATGAGTTTTTATTAGAGATAGTAAGTCATTTAAGGGCTGTTTACCGTAAGTGCTGTGGGGGTGGGGGGAACACAACAAAACATAACAAAAAAAGTAAATTTTAATTGTATTAATAATCCAAGATTAGTAGGAAAAAAGTAGGTATTAGTTTGTAGTTAAGCAGCTATTTTGTAGGGGAAATAATAAAGAAATACAGAGTCAGAGAGAGAGAGAGAGACCTAATGCAAAGAAAAGATGGAGGTAGAGGCCGATATGAAAGGTCAGATCAAGTTGAAAGTCTGACATAGCTTTTGCACAATAACATAGCTGGGAGTTATGTGTCAGTGCTATGGTTTGGTTCTTCCTTTCTATGTATCATGATCTGAGCTAAATGAAGTCTTTGCCTTCTAGCCATTCATCAAGCTCACCTGCTTTTTCCCTTCTTGGACGCTTCACAAACACACTAGGTCACATCTTTGCTAAATGAATAACAGAACAGATGGATGACTCTTTGTAACTGTTTTCACTTTAAACTGGCAATTGCCAAACGTCTTCATCCTTTCAAGCTTTGCTGTAAAAAAGTACCTCTAGAAAAGTCTAACAAGTCACTGTTCGGATGTGTGGGAACCTTGAGATCAATCCATTTAAATATTTCCTTTAATTAGTAGAGCTGAAATGTATAATGTATAAATAATTACACCACATCAGCTATGAAAGGATTGACAACTCAAAGTTCCATGATTTTTAAAGAGTTGATTTTATTTTTCAGAACTGTTCTTTGGCATAATACATAACTTGCCTGCATTTGGAGTTTCACACCATCGCTTCCACCAGTCTTCCTCCTGGAAAACTTAATATCTTAATTCTCACTCTCATGGCCGCATTTATAGCTCCTGCTTAAATCCCTTCACCTGTAACCCAACAACAAAATTCCTACAGCACCTTCAATCTCACATAATCATACTTTTTATCACTGTTCTTCTCTTCTTGACTCAACTTCATTCTTTGATGACAAATTCTGTTTACTTTGTATAAATATCCTCCCATTGCTTCCTTTGAAATAATAACCTGTGCAGTCAAGCCTGGTCTTTACCCAGTCACTCCTGCAACTTGCAAATGGATATTTCACTTCCTTCTTCTTAATGCATTGCGTGTGTGGGTCTTGCTTTCCAGGGATGCTTTCTCACCATTGGTTAACTTGCCATGCTCATGCTTTTCTGCTCTGGACGCTCAGTCTGTTTCTGGCAGCCTCTTCATCACCATTTCTCATCCTTCACAACTCACAGTTACCTTCCTCAACTGTTTCTACGCCTGATTCATTTTCCTTTGCTGCCCCTTCTTTTTTATCATCACTAGTGACTTCAGCATTACGGTTGGTGTTCTGACTCATAGCTGTTTACCCTCCTCCACTGTTCTGACCTTCATCTCCAGTAACTAGCAGCCTCTTGTGAGTAACAGTCATATCCTGGATCTTGATCCCATGCCTCCAAGATTGCTAACATGCTGGTTTTCTCTGAATACAAATCCCACAATTCTGTAGCCAATCATCTCCTTTTCTTATTTTGTCAGCAGCCTTGCCATTCCTGCCTCTTGTTCAGCCTGGGCTCCTTGCTTCGACAGTTCAGCACTGCTCTCACTGACATGTTAGACACCATGTTTCCTGGTTATCTCTCATATCCACGTCACTTTCGCATTGTGTAACTTCCTAAAGGATCCTTCTGGAAGTGTGTCTTCTGGTCTTCATAAAGTAGAAACACCAAAATAGTCCAAACAATAGGAAAGTCAGAAGAATTGCTTTTACCCTGTTCTGAACCACTTGACTCTCAAAGTGATAGAATATTAAGTTCAAAATTTCACAAATCCTCCCTTGAGAGTGCTCTAATTTCTTCCATTTTGATTCTCTTAACTGGTATCTATATTTCTCCAGGAGATATCTCCTATCACACACAATCAAATCACAAACACATATGCAGACTTAGCTAACAAACCTGTAAGGTTAATAATAGTCTCTTTTCCCAAAAATCTTCCATGAAACAATTGTTAAGATAATCACATATTTTTTCATGGTTTATTCATATGATAAATTAAATTCATTTGTTTTCTGAAGAAAATCCATATATACCTTATAAGTATAAATTAGATATTTAATATATTATAGCATTCTATATTTCTTATATTTTACTAAGTGAAATAGCTTCTACATTTTGTCTGTATATTAATTTTATGAACTATTTGAATCAGTTTTATAAGCTACATAAAATTCAGGAATTTTCCCTGTTTATTTAGACTAAATTAACTTACTTAAGACAAGAATTGTCATATCCTTGAAATTCTGAAAGTACAATGTAATGTCATCTAAGCCACTGTTTCAAGAAAAGGAGATTAAATACTATTTCAATTTATTTAATGACTCTTCATGTGTTATATTGGTAAATTTGTGGTGGAGAGAATACATCTTTTATTGACAGATTTTGAAATGTATTAGCATAATTATTCATAAAATTATGTTTACATTATTATATGGCTATTCATTTTTTTCTTCTTCTATTTGTATTTCCTACTTTTGACCTCAGACTTATCCATCTTATTTATGTTCCAAAAGGATGTTAGTTTCATTAATCTTCCTTATTATTCTTGTTAGTACTTTCTACCAAAATTTTTGCATTTTTATATAAATTTGGATTTATTCTGAAACAATTCCTCATATTGAATTAAAACCTTGTTCATTTTCTTCCTTTTCTATTATTAGGCTTAATTCTTTCCATTATCCTTCATGAAGCTCTGTTTCAGAAGTTGTAAAATTTTCTTTGTGATTGAGTTCTAATAATTCTGCTATTTTTTAATGGGCTCAACAATGCAAATAGTAGTTTTACTATATTTTAATATTTTAAATATATGCACTTTTAATTTTTAAGCTTATCTCCCCTCAGCAATATGATTTCATGCTCTAGGTGCTTTCAGCCTAAATCCTTTCATTTTTTTTTAATTATGAGAAAATCTCTCCAGTTACCTTGATGATTTTTTCCTTTATTTCATTTGTTTTCTCTTTCTCTTTAGAGGCTAGTATGCATGTTGACTTTTCACTCTCTACACTGCACACCTACTAAATTTTACTTAAAGACACCCCCTTCCTTTTTCTTGTTGGATTGTAATGTATTCATCTGATTTTATAGCAAAGTAATCATACTTTTTCTATTTGTACTCTTCTACTCAGTGTAACTTAGTTTTGTTTCATTTCCTTTTGCAGTTTTAACATAGCTACAATATTCAATTATACCAACTGATAATTCTTTAGTTCTTTTTCTCAATAGCTTTTGTTTCCTCTTTGAGAAACTCAATGTGCTAATATTAAAACCGGTCCGTCCCGTCATTTTGGTTCCATCGTTACTTATCAACCAAATCCTCAACAGCAGCACTGACCCACAAAACGCTCTCCGTAAAGCTGTGTGCTTTCGTGTTCATGAAACCTTCAAGTTGATGTGGGGGGATGAGGTAAGAACACTGAAGAGCCTGCCAGGCCATCTGTACATCCTAGCTGGAATCTCAGCGCAGGGAACTCTCTCCGGCCTGATCCTGGCAGCCTCGGCCTGTTCTCTGCCGCAAAGTGGTTTGAGAGAGGGCAAAGGCTCACTCCGTGGTGCATGTGGCAGGAGGTTGCCAACACACTGACACACATGCTAGGTTAATTCTGCCCCCCGGACTGCTGCATCCGTCTCACTCAGCTGCATGCCAGGTGTCTCTCCAGATGTGGCAGTGACACTCTCCCTCCTGCAGCAGCAACATGTGGGATCATCTATAGAGTTGGGTTGAAGAGAGAATTAGAGGACTAGGTCCTTTCAGTATCGTGCCACAGACCAAACTGCTTCTGATAGATGTGCTTGCCTGTATGGCCAAAGTCTTGGCTAATACTCTGCTTTCTCTCCAGATCATATAAATCTTATGCCTTTTACTAAAGATTTCCATGGGGAGGAACAATTGTGAGTCTTTACTCCATTTTTTAAGGCCTTATTTCGACAAGGCTATAAAAAACAATCCTGGATAAAATGTTTCTCCATAACTAATTTTGAAAAATTTTCTTTTGTTAAAAATAAATGTCAAAATTACCTGAAATCTACAATTTTGGAGAATCTGTGTAGTTTTTGAAGGCCTTGATAATGACTTTATGATGACTGCATCATGCTGATTGAGTCTCTTTGACTTAAACTGCTAAATTACTGGGTATATTTTACTTGATTGTGGGGAATGAGTCTTTTACTAGATTACTTCCCTGTAGTTCTTTTGTATTTTAATTATTACTAAAGCTGTATATATTTAATTGTACAGTGTGATGTTTTGATATAAAATCACAGTTAAATGACTACTACAGTCAAGCTCATTCACATACTGATCTCACTTACTTACCTCTATTTTTAGAGAACACCTAATCTTTCTACTTTCTTTTCAGCCTTCCTCACTTGCTTTACTCAGTGAAGTCTATCTTTATTTCTTTGAATTATTTTTAGTGTAATGCTAATAGTTAATACATGGTCAAATTTTCTTTTAAGGATAAGAAGAAAAGGCACATATAACTGCCCCTTCAGTGTGAGAAGGAATTATTTAGTTATCTAAGAGTTGCAGTATATACAATTTCTAATATCTATCCAGTTTTTAACATACAGAAACAAACAATTCACATAGCTTTATCCATACGAATATTACAAGGGACATTTCTTCATTAAGTTTCTAACCAAGATTTAGTTTTATGAAGGGTAAATATTGCTATTTGGTACTTATTTTTTATTCAATAAAAAGGCATTCTTATTTTTTTCTCCCAAACTAACTATATGCATTCAGAATAATACACCAATGTGTATTTCAGAAATAATTCCAGAAATAATTGAAAAAGGCAAAAAAAACCCTCTTTATTTACTATTCTTCTGACTTATAACATTTTAGACAAATAATACAGCAAAATTAGTTTCATCTATCTCTTTGCTTGTCTTGTTCATCTGGCCTTTCCTTCAAGGCAAAGTACATGGGAAAGCAAAACAAAACACTGAACCAAGAACTCATGGGAGAGTCTTTGGAGCTCATTTTCTGGGTGATTGCTTCTCTACCCGACCACCAGAACAGAGGAGGTTCCAGGAAGCAAGAAAATTAAAAGGCAGGAGAAAATAATGAGTCACAAGAGGGTCTTACCCTCCTAGGAAGACGTAGGTTGAATAAAATTTGGAAAATCATTGTAACTTAGGTTTATGTGTATAGTTTATACTGTATTCCAATGGTAAAATTAAGTGTACACTAGAACTATTTTGTGAAGCAATGAAATTTTTCTAGAAAAAAAAAGGAATATTAAGATACCACTGCTTTTTTTTTTGGTTAAAGTTGCACAAGAAACTTAAAAGAAAAAGTTATGTCTTATAAATGGAAATGTATGATGCAGTCATTTTAGGAATGAGGTCCCTTGGATACAGTATAGTGCGGGCTTTAAAATAAGGCATTTGAAAGTCCAAGAAATATTGGATTTTCAGTCCATATAACAACAACAACAAAAAACTTGGACCTTTATGCTAACTTCAGTTTGCAGTTGGGAACCCACAAAAGGTAAGAAAATAGAGAGGAACTAAATATTTGCCTAATTTACTTTCACAAAATATGTTTTGTAATGAATCCACTGACAGCAGGATGGTGCAGTTTTGTTAGCCTCAAAGTCTGTTCTGGGAACTCTCCTAGCCACTGCCTTTGCTCTTGCTCTCATTCAGGCTGTGAGGGTCTGCATCCGTCCTGCTCTGAGAACCTTAATATAAGTGCCGATTCTTTTATCATGATGTAATTCAATATCCGAGGGAAACAGTCAACATTAGATCCTTAATATTCATAATTCAGTTTGAAGGTAACTATAAAGCTGGGTTCTGGTGCTCTTCTCAGAGTATCTGTTTGTAGAAGAGAGGATCAAGGATCAAAGAAAAGATAAGCAGAATTTAAAGGGAGACCAGCTCACCATTTTGTTGGTATTTTTCTTATTGAAAACAGCTATCGCTCCATTTTGGTTTAGTGTAAACAATAAAATTATAGGATCTATAGTCAAACTGAACAGTTAGAAAGTAGGGCCCGGCGTGATGGCGTAGTGGTTAAAGTCCTTGTCTTGCACGCACCGGGATCCCATATGGTCACCAGTTCTAATCCCGGTGGCAGTCACTTAGGGAGTGAATCTCCAGATGGAAGATCTTCCTCTCTGTCTCTCCTTCTCTCTGTATATCTGCCTTTCTAATAAAAATGAATAAATCTTAAAAAGAAACAGAAATCAAACTTAAGTACTTACTATACTTGTGACAGTGGGCAAAGTATTTCATTTGTGTATGTGTCAGCTTCATTTGTAGAATTAGAGTGTGCTTACAAGGCTGTTGTGAGCCTTCACAATGACAGTACATACCAACTTTAGGGACAGTGTATGATGCAGAATAATCACTTAGCCATTATGTTCTTTCACTTTTCTCTGTTTTGTCTTATTTTGTACGTGCAGCTCCAAGAACCAGGGTCCAGCTACATAAACTGAGTCATAGATAAAATCTTTGCTTGCCTCTCATTTCTTATAGCCACACTTTTGCCAATGAGTAGGCTAACTGTTGCCTAGGATACCATGACTGTTCATAGGCACATATTTTTCTAAAGACAAAGGTCTCAGTTAAGTGAAAGCCTGGTAGCCCTTAGCTCAAGACAGTGAGAAACTTGAGAGAAATGGGTGCTTCATTTATCTCTATCTCCCTGGTGCCTTACACAACATCTGGCAAATGGAAACCATAGGAAATATTGGTTGACTTAAAAATATCTTATTGATTGCGATAATCAAGCAACACTTAGGGTTACATTGATATTTCAGTTTTACAGTTCTATCCCTCTGATAAACCAACAGCTTTCTATAAATGCTGCCAAATGTATGAAACTATGCTTGTTACATGTGTTTGAATTGGGAAGTTATTCTTTAGGACACAAAAGATGTTAGTCAAATGCCATTAAGTGCTAGGCAATGCACCCAGGCTAGTAGGAATCACAAGAAAAGAAAAGACCCAATTACAACTTTCTGTCCTCACTTCCCTCTGCTAAATAGAGCTAGCATCCATTAATCACACTTTTCTCTTTTTAGTCCTAGGTCATCTCTGTCATTATCTGTGCTCTCTCCATGCATGCTAAGAATGACTGCATAGACGCACACACACACACACACATACATATATTCTGTTCACACCTAATTTGAAAGCTTATCCACAATTTTCTGAGTTCTGTTTGATTCTACTCTCTCTTCTGGAAAGAAATAGCCTCTTAATAGTGCTTGCAGCATAAGTTTAATTTGAAAGCTTATTTACCCCAGTGGAAAAGATAAACAAAAATTTAAATTTAAATTCTATGCTGTTAATATAATTTCTCGAATAAACAGGGAGAAGCCTTACTTTTCCTATTCCAAACATATTTATCTATTTTTTCATTTGCTTATTATTAGTAGTCGTATGAGCTTATTCTGCACTTTCCTGGGCACCATTCTTAATGTTTCATGGTTCTCACTGGTTTTCCTCTTTAGCTAAATTTATATTTTATTTTGATATTTATGAAAACTTTTTTCCTGAAAGTCCAAAATGCTCATTCTAAATTTATTTTCTGTTTTCCTGGAATCACATGAATATTTTCCCCCAAACTTCTCATTTACTTGCCACCAGTCACGAAAGGACTGCATGGCACACCATGAACTGTGAAGCCACAGTTTCTATTCACACTTCCTCTGTTCCTGCCTATCAGAGTTACTAATCTCTTTTGAGTGTTTATTTCTTCATCTAAATATAGGGCTAAAATTGTACCTCCATTGAATATTATGCAAGCTCAATGACTGGCTTCAAGGATAGAAAAAGTATCATCCAATGGGTTCTTCTGCCTTTTGGATCATGAAAGATTCTCTAAATACACCAAAAATATACCAACTCTTCAGCATTTCATAGAAAGACGCTACCATTAGAAAGGCTCATAGCAATTCGCAGAACATTTTTGCTGGCGTATGAGGAGGACTTGAAGACAGGTGAGAGAGTTCTTCTGACACCAGTCCCTGAATGCTCAAATGCATTTTTGTCTTTACTAAAGCAAGTCTGTTCTTTTTCTGTCTCATGCAAGGGTCCAACCACTCAGGTTATAATCTGATGATTTCTGAAGCGTATTATCAGGTAGCTGGGCCAGAAATGGAGCAGCACTGGAACTCATACAGAAGCCCAAAGGAGATGCCAATATGGCAGGTGGCAACTCAACCTGCTATGCCACTGTATCAGCCCTTGGTACAATGATGAAATTATACTAAAAGGAGAGTTAGCAATTGATGGTAATATTTGAAATGGAAAGACTAGACGTGTTCTATGATTCAGCAGAAGGTAGCTATGCGGAAAGATCTCAAGAAGAAAAATGATAAACTTATGTATTAGCAACACAGATATTGATTCTCAACTTTAGTCATCAATCTTACATAATTTGTTAAGGCTGTTACACAGGCTTCCAAAAATAAGCATGTGCCATACTAAAAAAAAACCAATAAAATAAAATACATTCTAATTCAAGTTATCTATTCTAATTTCCTTTTTAAAACTTTTACCTTTACTCATAACTTACTGTGATTTCTGTTCTTGCCTTACTCTGAATATTTGACCTATACTCTTTTTCCTTCCTTGTCACAATTTTGACTCTCCTTATTGACCCATGAACCCATTCAGTACTCCTTTCCAAACAGCAGTCAGTATTCATGGAAAAGGAAGGATGCTATGTATCAGAAATGCTATAAAGAAGCCTGCATTGTGTAGAAAATTTACCACCCAAAATTTGCGAATCCTTTTCTAAATTAAAACAGACTGTCTCAGACAATACATTAATACTACTTTAAGGTTTTGGTTGTTTTAAGACAAGGAAATTCCTAGAAAACACTAAGTGCCCAGCTGGAGTGAATAGGATGTGACAGTTGCGTGAACGTGTCAATGGAGTAGTGATGACAAAGAACCTCCCCAAATATGTTGA